GGGAACCCAGAACATGTCACTGCAATCAGTGGACAGCTACATACCAAGCTCTCTGGGTAACACATTTGCCTTAGTCTTTAGCCTTCTTGGGGTGCCTTAAAAATGTATCCAATCCAAACAGTGGCTTCCAAGGGGTCTTCTGGACCAGTTCAATTCAAGACAGAGGGGTCAGTTCAGAAAGTTATAGTAACTGTTTTCTTGGATCTCAAATGGGTAATTCTGAAAGATTTATCAAGGGACACAGGACAAGCACAGAGACTTGTTTTAAGAAAATGGAAAGGTGCACTGGTGAAAGTTGCACCGAGGAATCCCCCCTCCCCCCAACAACAACACACCTGCTCATTCTTCAAGGGTCACAGGGGCAGTCCCAGGGGAATTTCACTGCGACACCTTACCCAATTTGTCCCAAAACCTTGGATCATGGCCCTTCAGACTTCTTTTTGTTCTCTAAATGTAAAGAACATTTAAAAGAAACACAATTTGAGTCCTGTGAGGATGTCCAAACTGCCATTTGGGGGCAATGTGAATCAAGGAGCAGAATTCTTTGGGGGAAAGGTTAGAGAGATGGACTTTAAATGCTGGCTTCATATTTTGGTATTTTTGTTAAATTAAGGATTCTATTGTTTTGTAGCACTGCTTTAAAAACATTACTTTAATGTATCTTCATATGATAAAGCACATTGGCACAGAATCGTATTTCCCAGACATAACCAAGTACTTCACAGGATCGGTTCACTGGGTTTGATAGCTTAGGACCACAGTCCTGTGGGACTCCCGAGGTCAACTGGCCCGATAAGAGTTCTTGAAAATGGATGCTCTATATTACAGTGCCATTTTAAAAGCTTTCAAGCAGCAATCTAAGATAGAGCTATTGGTCTCTACTTGCCTGCAGCCAAGGAGAAAGAAGGAAACTACAGAAACCAGTTTACAGGTTAATGGATTACATCTCTCTGGAGACCAGAACAAGATGGTGCTTGGCTATGACTGCTGATCAGTTCTGGTGAAGGATACAATAGTGTCCCAAAGAGAATGGGATAAAACAATCGGATGAGACTCAAATAATTAAAAAAAAAAAAAAAGAGCACTAAGTAGACTGGTAAAGACTTAAAAGACTAGGACCCCCCCCCCCCCCTCGCATCGTGCAGAGAGCTTGTAGCCTTGGAACAAAACCATTATCAGCTAAGTGAAAGATCAGTGTGCTTAAAAAAAAAAATCTATGAGACTAAATGATCAACATTTTCCCTAAAGCAGATATGAGAAGGTCAAGGAGGTGGCAGGGAAGTTATATTAATGAAAATGGAACAATTATGACAATGTTGACACAAGAGAAAATTTAACCAATGTGACAATACACAGAAATTGTTAACAGGGAAACGTCTTTGCTTTCACCAAAAACAGGTTAAGGAAAGAGAGAGAGAAAGAAAGACGTAACGAGGAGATGGCAGATAAAACCCCAACTGAAGAAACTGATCCTCAATAATTCAAGGTCAACTTGTGAAGACACTTTCCCCAGGCTAGGCCTCTCCTGGTTTCCAGAGTCTGGCTTGTCCTGAAATGAGTCACATCCAGGATGGCCAAAAACTAGGTGATACGAGCACAAAATATTGGGCATGTGATTACAAAAGAAATGTAAAAGGTGTATTTATTACCTAATACAATATCACAAGGACATAACCAAAAATCTAAAAGATAAAAGATCTGCTTGCCATCAATTTGAAATTTTACTAGTATCTCCCTTTCCTTTGTACCCCTTCCATGCATTCACTGATTTAATAGACAAAACTGTCTTGGCAAAGAGAGGCAAAAGCAAGCTTAGGTAATTTATTTTCCAGGGGTATGAATTAGGCATAGAATTACTACGTAGTATTTTCTGAGTGGCCCTTGAAAAAAAACAAATAACTTTTTCTTGCTAATTAGCTGAAGGTTTACAGAGTAGACAATCAGTTTCATATTCAATAATTCATACATATTTTCTTCAATTTCTACACTGTAATTTCCTAAGTGTACCACCTGCTCATCCTACTTTCTCCTGGATTTCCTCTTTCCATTTCTTCTTTCCTAGCAGGCTGAACTTTCTATTCTTGGGTAAATGCTACCTTTGGATCTTGGATGGCTGATTATTCCAACATGGGAGTCAGCTCATTTCTAGATCTGAAGGGCAGCTAAAGGCCATGGCCTTTATTTGTTTTGATTTGCTCTCAGTATTGTGTTAAAGGCAGTGAGATGTCTGTTGGGGATAGACATTAGAGGTCACATTTATCTCCTGCATATTAAAATATCCAGGATCTGGAGTGGTCCAAAGATCCACTATTGTTACTCTGCTCACAAAAGGTTTGACTATAGTGAGTTCATGTGGCTCAATTGAGGAAGCAAACAGTTAATTTTCTTAAATGCAGAAATTTACTAGTTTATCCTGGATCCTTCCTATATCACTTTTAGCATCCTAGAAAAATCCACACAGTTTTGATGTTATTCAAATAACAGGCACTCAGACATCCACACGAAGACAAACGGGGAGAATACACAGTTGACAAAGAATACTATTTTGACTAGGCAATTTCCTGCCTACAGCTTAGCCAGCATGATTAGTCTATCTTAACGTGCCAATGGTTAAGGGGGTTTGGATAAAACATATCCTTGATAGGTAACTTCCTTTTCCAAAAGAGAATAAATCATC